AAWTTWAYGSKKRTTTTRKYYAWTTMSKAKKAAAAAAAAGGTTTTGAGGAAAAACGCCTTACAATTGCAAAGTTTTTGTTTCTTCCCAGCTGGGAAATCTCCATTTACTCTCAAATTCTCAAATACTATTTGAGGTTTCCGCTTTATAACATCAAAAATTCATCATTAAAATTACATCAAACAGTAATGTATTCTCATAACCAGCAACACAAATTACGTCATATATTTGGATCCGATTATGATATCAGAAAGATCCAGGTGTCAAAACGTAGCTTTTAAAGCCAGGAATCTGATAATGTGATTAGGTCATTTTGACCAAATTTGACTTAATCCTCATTTCAGTATGATGAGTCACAAATTTATAAAAATAATTTACTGGGAGCACTTAAAAACCACCATAATGATTAGAAATATCTCTGACATCACAAGCTAAAAACACTCCTGTTTATTTTCATAAAGCCTTGTGGTTTATTTGTAAATCCTGTGTTAAACATCATAATTTTCCATTTAAACACTAAATATTTTGAATATCAGAGAACACTTTGACCAAAATGCACACAAGAGTTCACAAGAGTTTCTTTGAAGCCCCAGGTTTGTCCCCCAGTCACTCATCTTGATAGTCACAGTCAACCTGAAACATTATGCCAGTTACAGAAACAACTAAAAACAGAAGTGAGCATCTTGTTTCTAACACCCAAGAAAAAAAATTGCAGAAAATGTTGTGCACTTTGCAGAGGTTAGAGAAGCATGTTGTGGGTTTAACAAGTCAGAGAAGCTGAAGTTTTACTTTTTTTACATCCAGTATATTTGTATTGGCTCTTACAGTGGAGACTTGAGAGATTTCGGCCCTGATGTGGACAACATCCTCTTGTAATAATTTTTGCTGATAGGCTATTTTCTCAGCATGAGTCGGCTGATCTCGGTACTCCTCCATCTGCTGGTGAGACACATCCAGCACAGACTCCAACTTGTCCTAAAAAGCAGAGGATATTCTTTTAGAAAGCAGGAAATATTACTGGACTTTAGCAGCTGGGTAGGCTGAAACACGCGTTTCAAGTTCCCTTTTAGAGATGCTCTAAATCACAAATATAGTCTCAATATTTTGATCAGCGAGTGTGAAAAACATTTTCTCCTTCTCAGTGAAAACAGTCTGGATCTGCTTCAGTTTACTGAATTACAAACACTGTGGATTCAGTTTTACTCGGACCAAGTTTGAGATGAAACCTGTCTGTGAAGCAGAAAATGCTGACGAGCATTAACAACAAACATTCCTGACGATTTGTTATCAACACAGCATTTCACTGTGCGTTTTTAGTGTTTTGGTAAGAATGCCACCAGCAGCTGACTCTGCATTTGTGGGTTTCCTTTAACAACACCTACAACAATGCTATAACCTTTGACTATGCATTGGAAAGGTTCCGTTTTGAGACGCAGATCAATATCAGAATACTTCTTAAGTGACAAAATGTATGCAGATGAGACAAAGTACTTCAGAGGTTTTAGCAACAAAAACACTAAATATTTCTTTGGAAAGAGGGACTGTTTGTTGCCAGAACCATAAAAGGCAAGCAATCACATAGTTTCGTGTGTGTTTGAGTAAATGTTTTTGTTACCTYGTGGAGATGATTTTGAACCATTTTTCTGGCACACACTGTGTGTGAGGACCCACTGTTTCTTTTGGGGACAAAAGCCCGGTCCCCATTGGGGGAAAAACCATTGGTGAGTCAGAGGTTTAGGTTTAGAACTAAAGTCTGAATTGAGTTTAGGTTGGGTTTTAGGGCTGCACCAATTAGTTGAAATAATCGATGACGTCGATTATGTAAATTTGTCGACGCATTTTTTATTATCGATTTGCTGTATTACATAATCACCACGTGAATGTTCTTGCAATTACATTTCAGTACCTAAAAGCATCATTGCGACCGTATTGGCATAAGAGTGGTGAGTTTTTCATGCTTGTCCTGAACGCAGCATCGCGCAAGAGCGTAATGACGTCAGCAGCRGCTGCTTCAGTTCAGTCTGAAGCTTGAAAACAAGCCTCGCAGCTCCTGGAGTAAAACTTACCAAAC